CTGGAGTTTTTTCTCGGGAACCCCCTACGTAAGGGAGTTCCCGAGGACTGTTATCTAAATCGCTATATGATATCTTGGTAAGACCCATTTTCAATAATTTTATTTGGTAACATGGATCTCTCCAGTTGCAGGAAGGATTTTCCTTAATCTTAGTGCTTGGACGGTGAATTGGTGTGAGATGTCTAACTGATCGTACAGATATACGTGGTAGAGCCATGCTGCAGCTATATTAGTAGTATAGTTGGCACGAATGGGACGGCTCGACCGGGAAAGCACCACGCTCTCACAGAATACCGGCGTAAAATAGCAGCTGAACACTGCTGTGTTTCGTATGGTGAGTGTAGAGAACCACAGAACCTTTTTACTGAAAAAAGAGGCATTCCATCTTAGTCCTCACGGGTGACAACGCACCTTTATTTTGATTCTTTATTGAGGTTAGATGTAGGTGTCTATGGGTCAAAAAAGGTTGGCAAACTCTTACCAACAGGTGGACTGTGTGCTCGTTTGTCACTCTATCCTATAAAAAAAACCTTTAAAATTGCTGCTCATTGCCGATCTGAATATTTTACGTTCAGTGTAAACGAGGCCATCATCCATAGGTAGGCATACAATTTGTCTGGTAATTATCATTATCGCCTCTAACACCCACGGGATGATATTGGGTAGTAGTGGATATTCTTACACCGCCACTAACTGTACGCTTTTAGCAAAAACGAAAAATGTGGTCATTTACTCAAATCAAGTCATATACATTTATTTCAAAAACATTGCTCAATATTATTAGACGTAAATGACTTTGAATACCAAATACAAACTTATATCAAAGCATAGACGCGTGAAATGGCTAGTCTCTTGGAAAAAAATCAGAATCGACACTTGAAATATAGATAACAACGTTATATCGAAACATGGAAAGTTAACAAATGATTAAGCAAAGATTTCCATGTTGAATGGCAACTTGGTGATTTCACATGTTACTGGAATTGACTGAATCATATTGAAGAAGACACTAACTACAGAACCTGATTCTTATGTTAAATTTTATACTTATTTCACTTTGTACTTATTTTTTTTTCTAATGTATATTACTGGAAGAATAATATTAACTTTTAATGTAAAATAATTAATTCACATCCTTTAAGGACGTAGTTACATTTCTGACATGATCGAATCTAAAACGGCAGACTTATGGGGGATTTCCGTTAAAGTTATTTTAGCTATAATACGAGTAGATATATCAGCACCTTATCTAGCCACTATATTTAATATAAGCGTCGAATCTGGTGTGTTTCCTGATTTAATGAAACATAGTAAAGTCCTACCTATATTTAAATCTGGTAGTACATTAGACCCCGCCAATTTTAGACCAATTTCTGTACTACCAACATTAAGTAAAATTTTTGAAAAAATTATTTTAGTTCAGATGTTAAGTTTCTTTAATATTAATAAATTGCTACATAAAAATCAATTCGGTTTTACAAGGGGTCGCTCGACAACTGACGCTGGAGTTGAGCTTATTAAACATATTTTTTGTGCATGGGAGAATTCAGAGGATGCTTTGGGTATATTTTGTGACCTTTCCAAGGCCTTCGACTGTGTTCACCATGAGAAATTAATCAGGAAGCTACAGTACTATGGTGTCAGGAACACAGTGCTTAAACTTATTATTTCATATTTAAGTAATAGAAAACAGAAGGTTATTATCAATGGTAAAAGTTCTTCCGGGTCACCTGTACTAATGGGTGTTCCTCAGGGCTCGATTCTCGGCCCATTCCTGTTTCTGGTGTATATTAATGACTTACCTCACCTTGTAGGCGATAGTCATGATATAGTATTATTTGCTGATGATACTTCCTTGATTTTTAAACTTAAACGTCAATCATTTAAATGTGACGAAGTGAATAATGCTATATCAAAATTAGTGCATTGGTTTAACGTTAATAATCTGCATTTGAACGGAAATAAAACTAATTGTGTTAAATTTACAACAACGAGTGTTAAAAATCTGAATACCAATGTGTTTTTAAATGGGGAGGAATTGAACCCTGTTGTATCCACTGTTTTTCTTGGCATCACTCTTGACGCAAAGCTCCAGTGGGGCCCCCATATATCCAAATTAGCAAGCAGACTAAGTTCTGCAGCCTATGCTGTAAAAAAGATTAGAAGTCTCACTAGTGTCGAGACAGCTAGATTAGTTTATTTTAGTTATTTCCATAGCATAATGTCTTATGGGATTTTGCTATGGGGAAATGCGGCTGATTCAGAAACTATTTTTGTTTTACAGAAGAGGGCCATTAGAGCTATTTACAATCTAAAACCGAGAGAGTCTCTTAGAGATAAATTTAAAGAAATTAATATATTAACTTTGGCCTCTCAGTATATTTACGAAAATTTAATGTATGTTCACAAAAACAAAGATAGTTTTAGTAAAAAAAGTGATATACATTCTGTAAACACTAGGAACAAACACAAGCTAGTGATGCTAGTTTCTCGACTCCACAGAGTCAGTAATTCATTCTTGGGGCAATGTATACGCTATTACAACAAGGTCCCGGAAAGTGTACAGGTTCTCTCTATTACCAAGTTTAAATTTTTTATTAAGCTGAAACTGTATAAAAAGGGTTATTATAGTATAAATGAATACATGGTTGATAATAACCCCTGGGAATGAGGTGGTCGCTTCCAAGCAGTTTCTAAAATAAATTTTGTAAATAGTTCGTAATCATTTATATTGTAAAATTTATTTTAAAAAAAAGTACCGCTGGGTTTCTTGCTGGTTCTTCCCAGGACAGAGGGTTTTTTTCGAACCAGTGGTAAAGTAAAAAATGACTTTCAATAAGAATTACACATGTAATGTATATTGAATAAAAAATATTCTATTCTATTCTATTCTATTCTAGATATTCGAATTGCAAGTCGAATCACGCATGTATACCTTGAAAAAATTTTTTCGCTATCTAATATATAAAAAATAATTTTCATGCGCTGCCATACCGTTCATCAGATTGCGGTAAAACTTTGTGCTTGCACTTGCGCGGAGGTTATAGGCATAGTACAATTAACTTCAGTAGGCGCGCGTGTCGTACCGATAAATTTATTTGAAAGTTTATACATAATTTAACTTCAATGAATTTACTATCAATATAACTAATTAAACAATGTAACTCTTCCAAATTTAAAACGATATTTAGGCAATTATTTTCTGCGGCAGCAACGCACTAGGTACCACCTAGTAGCTTATATATTATACTTGACTAAATATTGATACTTGCTCAGACCAACAAAGGAAGGAAGACGGAGAGCTGCGTACATTTTGTACCGACTTCAAAAAGGAGACGGTACTCAATTCGACTATATGTTTTTTTATGTACCTCATAACTTTTTACTAGGGAAACTGATTTCGATGATTCTTTTTTTATTTGAAAGCTGGTACTTCACATGTAGTCCCATATAAATTTGATCAAGGTCTGACCAATAGTTTTTGAGTTATTCTTAATAATTTATATTATAAGTCGGTTGTACAAAATGTTTAATTTTAAATTATAAGTGAAGCTAAAACCATGCTCAACTTCTTGACACACTCTCGCACTTATTTTTTTCATACACTTCTTGTATGTCTGAGAAATAAGAACAAAAAAAAAATATTTCGAAGAAACGTGAAGTTGGCTAACACGCAATGTGGCAGCGCGGCGGACACTTCCTCGCCCTAAAACCCTCTCAGAAATGAGAGAAGGCCTGTGCCCAGCTGTAGAACGTATATAGGTGTAACTTTAACTTTTTAACTTAACTAAATTGGAGTATATTACATAGCTTGAGGTGCACTATAATATCAACTTTCCTTTTTCATCGGCCCATAACAGTTCACTGTTTGACATGGCCTTTACTCTTGTAGAAAAAATTTCCCTTAATCCCCACCATTGGCGCCAGATTAGCGATTGCAGTACCAGATATCGCACCTTTGACGTTACTCCTTATCGCCAGTCTGTTAGAAGTCTGTAAAATACGAAGAAACTTTTTCCCCGACCTTATATAAATTAGATTTTCGTGTAAGGGCGGTGTAAGATAATCTACTATCTCATATTATGCTACGGTAGCATGGACACTGGTGTTAGCTACCAATTTCCTGGCCCGACCAATCCTTGAATTTTCTTAGTTTTTTTTACACTTTTTTCCAGCAACAAATTAGCAACTTTTGACCTTTTTTTTAATGTATTAAGCATAATTAAGTTACATTATCCAGTACAATACTAGCATATAAACCTCTAGGGGTTTATCTACGCTAGAGAATCGTCTTATAGAAACAAGGATGTATTAATATTAAATCACAATATTCTAGTATGAAGTACTTACTGCAATATGTATGGTTGATTTAAAAAAATATGATTTAAGTTTACTTTTAAACAGTTTTGATTTACCGTATGTGTTTTGTAATTCTAGTGGCAAGGCATTAATAAAAGTAGGTACAAAACCTATTTACGAGTATTGGACTCAATTATCATTAATTTCGTTTTGTTTACTGCTAGCTGATATAAAGGTAGCAGGAACTTGTTTTTTATAGAACCGGTTTGAGTTTCAAAATTGGGTTTTTAGCAACTAATATGCAACTGTTTAGTTCCAAATTGCGGCAATTTGGAACTAAGCAGAACAACAACACTAACATAGAACAATTTATTATTATTATTTATTATTATTCTACCAACTTTTCATTACTTGCTTTATAGAGCTTCAAATATGTATACTCTGGAGATATAGAGTACAAACATCTACATCAATACTGGCAGTTTGCGCCGTTAAATTTATGATAATCTGTGTTTATCAAATTCATCACGATCATTGTCAAAAATGTCAAATAAACAAATTTTAAACTGAGGTGTTACATTATTTCAAAAATAATGTTTGTTAAATTTTGATATCTAAAATTATTTCGAGTATGCAATTAACAGGGCTTATGTAAAACGGCTTTACCAACAAAAGTTTTGTAAAAAATAAAACATAAACAGGAATTTGAAAAGAGTGCCACAACTGCTAATAATGGATCTCGAATTTAAGTTTGACGAGCTAAAATATGACATAGTTAAAAGGATCGACAAAGAATTGATGGACTCACAAAACGCAAGAGAATTTGTTTCACAAAAATACGACGAGTTGTGCAATAAAATTAAACATTTAACGGAGCTGGACGCAACTGTCACAAGTTTTAGAAGTGACGTGAAGACTATTGAAAAGCAGCTCACCGAATTGTCGAATAGATTAGACAAGATCGAGAAGAAAATGATTTCTAGGGATAGTTCTATAACCGCATCGAATCTGTTTTGATATTTATATATATAAATAAAATTGAAGTGTATGTCTGTAATATCGAAATAACTGCCTTTTATTGAGCGTAGGGGGTTATTTGCATGCCATGAAACAGAAACAGAAACTTTTTTATTCAATATAGATTATAAATAATACTTATTGAAAGTCACTCTTTTGTTTGATTACCACTGGTTCGGAAAAAACCTCTGTCCTGGGAAGAACCAGCAAGAAACCCAGCGGGACTTTTTTTTTAAATAACAGCTTACAATGATGATGTTACACAAATTAACAACACAACAAATTAAAAATAGCTTGGTAGCGATCACCTCATTTCCAGGGGTCATTATCATTCATAAATTCTTTAATAAAATAATAACCCTTTTTTACAAACTTAGTTTAATTAAGTTTTTGAAACTTTGAGCAGGTCAAACTTTGTATATTTTCTAAAATTTTGTTGTAAAAGCGTATACATCGCCCCAAGAATGAATTACTGACTCGGTGGAGTCGAGTAACTGGTACTACTAGCTTGTGTCTGTTTCTGGGATTTACAGAATGAATATCACTTATTTTTGTAAGACTAATTTTATTTTTGTGTACGTACATTATATTTTCATAAATGTATTGAGAGGCCAAAGTTAATATATTAATTTCCTTAAATTTTTGTCGCAGCGACTCTTTAGGCTTTAAATCATAAATTGCTCTTATGGTCCTCTTCTGTAAAACAAATATAATTTCAGTTTCAGCTGCGTGTCCCCATAGCAAAATACCATACGACATTATGCTATGGAAATAGCTAAAGTAAACTAGTCTAGCTGTTTCAACACTGCTAAGATATCTAATCGTTTTTATGGCATGTGCTGCAGAACTAAGTCTGCTTGCTAGTTTTGATATATAGGGGCTCCATTGAAGCTTCGCTTCTAGTGTGATTCCAAGAAAACTGGTGGTATCTACAAGACTCAGTTTCTCCCCATTTAAAATTACATTAGTATTTAATTGTTTGACATTTGGCGTCATGAATTTCATACATTTCGTTTTAGTGCCATTTAAATGCAAATTATTAACATTGAACCTATTTACTAATTTAGATATAGCATTATTTACTTAGTCATATTTTAGTAATTGTCGACTTAATTTGAAAATTAAAGAAGTGTCATCTGCAAATAATACTATATCATGGTTATCCCCTACTATGTAAGGTAAGTCATTAATGTATACAAGAAACAGAAAGGGGCCGAGAATTGACCCTTGAGGCACGCCCATTTGTACCATCGATCCGGAAGAGCTCATATTGTTAATGACAACTTTTTGCGTTCTCTTACTTAAATATGAAATAATTAATTTAAGAGCATCACTTCTTACACCATAGTGTTGAAGTTTCCTGATTAATGTGAACACAATCGAAGGCCTTGGATAGGTCACAAAATATACCCAAAGCATCCTGTGAATGCTCCCATACATTAAAGATATATTTAATCAGCTCAACACCGGCATCAGTTGTCGAGCGACCCCTTGTGAAACCAAATTGATTTTTATGAAGTAAATTATTTATATTAAAAAAAATTAACATTTGAACAAGAACAATTTTTTCAAAACTCTTACTAAGTGTTGGTAGTACAGAAATAGGTCTAAAATTTAAATAAAGGTATTACTTTACTATGCTTCATTAAATCAGGAAACACACCAGATTCCATACTAGTATTAAAAATAACAGCTAAATGAGGCGCGATTGTATCTATTATAGACGCAATAACTTTAACGGAAATCCCCCACAGATTCGCAGTTTTCTTAACATCAATAGTTTTAAAATATTTTACAATATCTTTTGATGACACTTTATGAAATGTAAAATTCTTTATACACACATTTACATTTTGTTTAAGTAATGATTCGGCGACGGCAGGAGAAGAATTCAGTGACTTAGTGGTCAAGATCGGAATATCAGTAAAATATTTCTCAAAAACCATTGCTACGTCCTGATCTGATACAGTTAATTTGTTGTTAACACTTAACTGGTAATTTGAATTGCGAGAGTTGATCTTACCAGTTTCGCTATTAATTATACTCCATGTCATTTTAATTTTATTGGAAGCCGTCTTAATTTTGTTGCTCAAATGCAAAGACTTGGCTATGGAGCACACTCTTTTAAATATTTTTGAATATTTTTTTACATATTCCCTAAATTCAACGCTATGATTATATGACCTTTCATGGTAAAGATCATATAACCTATGCCTGCTCTTATGGACTCCTACTGTCGCCCATTCATTGAATGACTTCCGACTGTTCAAGGAGAATGTTTTAGAAGTAAAATTATTATTAAATTCATTGCAAATAAGCTTAAATAATGTTCCATACAAAAAATTAGGATAATTTTGGTATGAAAGTGATGGAAGTTTTTTCACTATGTTACTTCTAAATTTCTCCAAGCGACGTGCATTTACTGGAACAGACACAACTTTCTCATCTACTTGCTTTTTGTGAACATAAGGTAACGAAACTACTTGTCCACAGTGATCAGAACTTAATTTTTGAATTATACTTTTATGCAACGGCTTCACATTTGTAAAAATGTTATCTATACATGTTGCACTAGATTGAGAAATACGCGTTGGCTCTATAAATAAATTAAAAAGACCATTTATGATTTAAACAATGATCTAAATTTAATATTGATGGAGGAAGCTTCTAGGAGATTGATATTAAAGTCTCCACATATTAAAACAGATTTATTCTGTTTATTAAGCTTAGCAAAAACTTCCTCCATAATGTTTTCAAAAGTATCATATGTACAACATGGGGGTCTATAGACGCTCACAACAATGAGGTGCTCAAACTCAACACATGCCATTTCTACAGTTCGTTCAACAGAGAGGCTCACAATGTCTTTACGTTCTTTACATGATAATAATTTACTAGCTAATATTAAGGAGCCACCTCTTAAAACCGTATCTCTATTGAAAGAACTGACCACCTAGTGATTACTGAAGTTAAACATTAAATTATAAGCTTTTAACCAACGTTCAGTAATACATAAAATATGAATATTGTTGCTATTTAAGAACAACTCAATTTCTAGCTCTTTGCCTATCATGCCTTGTATATTTTGATGCACCAGGTGTAAACAATTTTCATTATCTTTCTGTGGAGTCATACAATTAAAGATTTGTAAGCCACATTCTAAATTATTTAAGTTATTATAACTGCTAGAAATTACCTCTATTGTCTCATTTTCTAATTTAAATTACTTGGAACTGATTCCAAATTGCATATTAAGTCATTACACTGCTCAAAAGAAGCAGATGTCTGTGTAGCCAAGTCCTTGGCTGAGTTAATATATAAATAATAAGATAGCACATTTGCTATCTGTTTTAAATTATATTTTGATAGGTAATACCTATCTCTAGTCAAAAATTTCTTAATTAAATTATTTATATCTATTAAATTAATTCTATCATTATAATTGTAACAATTAAATCTCAAGTTTAAATTATTATTATATGAAAAGTTATTCATTAATAAATTTAAATCATATCTTATTTTATTTTCCTGCGGCCAACCCTGTATGTAAGGCAATGTAAACAAGATAATTTTATGTATGTTCGCGCCAAACGCTAATTTCAGGAACTAACGCGAGAGGGCGCGTGGCTCGGTGCCATACCGGTTTTGACGTCGGTCGAGCGGTGGGTGTTGAGAATGCGTAAAGGCGAAAACCTGTCGTCTGCCAACTGTGCTAATGTCTGCACGCTGTCAATTTTTGTGCGGGAACCGCGGAATAATTTAGGCGTCTAGTAAATATCCTGTCTAGGATTTATAACGCGCATTCATTGTTGGATAGCCTTTCCCGGGACTTATTGGGTCCGACTCAGAGTCTGTATAAGTGCATTCGACAATATTAGCTAAATCGGCCTTTGATATTCTAGAAATAACTGTTGCTACGCGAAGCGGTAGTGACCTTTGATCCGGACACTCCCTGTTAGTTTTGTGTGTTAAAGTGTGGCAAAGGTCAATCACTATCACTCACACCCAGATACACATCACATCACCTTATTTCCCTTGCACCACACAACCACATGCGACCTGACCGAATCCTGAGGGAGCAGTCGCCTTGGATATAGGTAAGTAAGCTCCATCTAATATTCCCCCTGTTGAATGGCCATAGTATAGAACGCTCCCCCTTATTGTTTAGTGTAACTAGAGATTTTCCAGTTTGGCCTTAGGAGGTCCGACCTACGTCTGCTCGTTGAAACTCAGCTGAATGGGCCCCTGAGGATTTGACCTTTATGGGAGCAGCCGTAGGCCGTAACAATGTACATTTAAAGTATTTAGATTATCAATATATTTTAATAATTGATTTTTGTTTACATTGCCTCTTCTCCCAACAAGAATTATTAATGTGCTATTACACAAAATTTACTAGCTAAAACTTTATTCATTATATGACTAAAGGATGCTCCAGGCATGCAATAATTACTGATCAGATGTCCTTTTAAACAGTTATTTAACATCATGCCCAAATTTTTGCCTATGTCATCACAATACATAATAACTTTATTTTTTAATATTTACATTGCTTTTTAAGTTTATATCCTTTGTCATGGCACTGTCATAGAGTGTAGGTGAAAATAATGAGGTCTTACTGTTAACTTTGTTATTTACACATATTGTCCCCGATGAACCTGGTATGGAGCGCTGATACTCACTCTGATTTTTTATTAAGGAGTCAAAGCGCTCCTCATTATATTTACATGATATTTACATGAAGACATAAATAACAATTTTTATTTTTTTTATTTGTCTGTCTGTCTGCCCTGATTAATATTCGGAATTGCTGGACCGATTGTAATGAAACTCCACGATAGAGTAGCAATACCAGTAGTAATCTAAGGTATATTTCATTGGAAAAACAACGAGATTTTTTTGAGAAAAATCGAATAATTGTTAAAATAAATGTTCTCTAATTATTATTTTTAATTTAAATAAACAGATTGAAGTAAAATGTACTTACGTAGTACATAGTA